GTGAGTGATTATGTGTGTACACCCGTCAGTTCGTTGCTACAAGTATTAACCATGCAAGGACGGAAATACAGTTGACATATACTGGTGGCAGTTTTATCAAGCAACCCTGCCCAGTCCAGCTGATAGTACAAACCATGTCCAATTGTGTGTTTCCATTGCGTTGTATACTACAGACGCACGATATAGCTTTCATAGCAGTGGTGTAGATCTCTCATGGAGATCACGTCCTACACAGACTGTGCAAGTATCGAGTGTTGAGCCATTTTCTAAGCGTACCCGGAAGTAAACTAGTCTATATAAACTAGTTAAACTAGTATATACAAACTAGTATATATAAACTAGTTTATATTTAAACTAGTATATATAAACTAGTATATTTAAACTAGTATATATAAACTAGTATATATAAACCAATATATTTATACGAAGAAAAAACCGGTAGCTAAAATCCAGCGTGGATTGTGAAGAAAACATAACCTGATCCTTTTAAATCCTTCATTCCCATCGCAAGCACACACTTTAGGGTTTAAAGTTTTAGATTTGGACCCGCATACATATAAATACAGGTACACATCTCATTGTAGCGATTATTAACCACCCCCCCACCAGTCCCTTCCTCGGTGTCTAAACAAAGACCGCTGTTCACGCTAGGGTTATCACCGCTGTTCACGCTAGAGATATATACATACCTACATATATCCAAACGTACCATACAACACCACTGACCACTGACCACTCACCCATCAGTCCTTTCCTCGATATCCAAGCAAAGACCACTGTCCACGCTATGGTTATCTACATACCTACATATATCTAAACGTACCATACAACACCACTGACCACTGACCACTCACCCATCAGTCCTTTCCTCGATATCCAAGCAAAGACCACTGTTCACGCTAGGGTAATCTACATACCTACATATATCCAAACGTACCATACAACACCACTGACCACCCACCCACCCACTCACCATCATTTTCCGCGATGTTCGAGCACAATCCTCCGTTCAGACAGGGGCTATCTTCACAGTAGTCCGTGTCCACACAATTGACCCCTGCAAAGCCTGGCGGACACTCTATACACTCATATGACGTTGCACCGGTCTGTACACAGTTGCCATTTTCGCATGGATCGTCGGCACATGGGTCTACTGTAATGCTGCAGTCGGTACCAAATGTGCCTATGACGCATTCGCACGTCCATCCGCCCTTCCTATGTATTGTGAGTGTGGTAATAGAGTGAGTTTGCAAACGGTATATGTATATATCTTGGTATATGTGAGAGGTGAGTGTGATGCATTGAACGATATTTCGACTCAGAAATAGAACGCTAATAATATACCGTTGAATTGTAAAGCGCGTGTGTCCGCACTTGTGTCAGTATATGCCTTGGTCCGCATCCGTGAGTGAGTGAGTATATAAAAACAAATATACATACAAATATATGTAGATGTATGTAAGATTGAATGAGTTTCTCAATTATGAGATCGAAAACTTTACATAGCATGCATTGAACGATATTTCGACTCAGAAATAGAACGCTAATAATATACCGCTGAATTGTAAAGCGCGTGTGTCCGCCCTTGTGTCAATATATGCCTTGGTGCGCATCCGTGTGCGCGAGAGTATATACAAACAAATATACATTAAAATATACAAATATATATATATATATTTATATATATATATATAATATACGTATATATAAATACTCATTTACAAACATACATATTTATATATATAAATATATATATATACATACTTATAGCAATCTAACTATACATTTCAATATACAAATATATATATGTAAATATATATACAATATTTATATATATAAATATATATATAATACACATATATACATACAGACATACATACATACATCCGTAAATAAATACATACAAACGTATATACCAATGAATATGTGCATACATACACGCATAAATACATAAATACATACATACATATATACATGCATATATA